CAGGTGGGGCTGCAATTGTAAAGTGCTGGGCGCTGGTGGGGCTTTGTAATTGTGGCAGCCACTTGATGGTGTGGACCGTTAAATAGCCCATGGCAGGCCCAGACATTCTGGGATCATCCAGAGGCCACCTCTGCAGTGCTTGCCGAGGGCGTTGTGAAAGATGGAGTGGGGCTGAACAATGATTCTTAGCAGTATAAAAAATTGCTTAGCTTAGCTCCCTTTGGGGATCTGTTTTTGGCTGAGTGTGTAAATGTGTTAGCTTACATGTTGAAATTGCCCTCAACCCCACCTTAAAGGTGCATGCTGGGAAATTCTGGCTCAGGGGCATGGATTCAGGCTTATGTGACCAAGGATGCCCCTCGCCTGTTGTGGCCTGGGGTTCACCTTCACACATTCAGAAGCCACAGACCTTTCCCCCTGCAAAGCATTGTTTACTGACCCAGAATGAATCTCTGAGCATGGACAAAGTGGTTTGTTGAATCCAATCAAGTGTTCATTACCAGGAACTCTCCTTATGAGCATGCCTGGGCCCCATCCCATTGGGAAGGGCCTTCTGAAAATGGGCACGCCTCCTCTCCATGCTGGCCCTCTAACTGGGCCACCTTCCTCTGCTGACCATGTGTCATAGGTCAAGAGCTACACCCACCTTGTCTGTGTCTGAGAAACTCCCCTACTCCAAGTCCCCTCCAGCCAGTTGTACATCTTGGCTATTTCCAGGGACTGCCTGCCAACCTGGGGAGTCTGGCTTTGAGATAAGCCCTCCTCTGCAACTTCTCCCATCTCAGTTTCTCTGCAAGTCCCACATTCCTTAACTATAACCCTTTACCCACTTCTCCTTCTGATTCTAATTCTTCTGAGGTCCAGCTGGCAGTCCTTGAGAACAAATGCCCAAAGCAGTCTTCTTTCTCAGTTCAGCATCTCCTCTCCCATAGATTTTATTTTTCTTTTGGTGATTAACTATGTTTTCAGTCTTCATCCATTCTGCCCTGGAGATGTGTAAAGTGTTGCTAGTTGTACTTTTGTTTTAAGCATGCCAAAGCTGTGAAGCATACAAATTAGCCAGGATAATTGAGAAAAGGGTTATTGTTCCTATTTGGCTCAGAGGCAGAAAGATGAAGGTGATCATAGCAACCACTCAAGTCAGTAGTCCTCAGCAATCTTCAGCCAAGATCTTGGCTATAGGAATCTTGAGGATGACACCTGTTAAGGTAGCAATTTATGCATCACCTAAGAAACAGGACACCAATTTGCATAACATTTGCATATGCACAATTGTAAGTAAAAGTGCAGATTTAGAAAAACAAAATCACCATACTTTAGACAGAAAGATATACAGTACATCACACTAAAGTTGGTAAGGATGATTAAATGATCTCTGTCCAGGTGATAAGTATGGATGGACAGCTTCAAGGCCTTTGCTCTCCCTTCTCATGGTTTTCTGATGTTTAACCAAACTTGGACTGGACATCTTTTCAGAAAGCAGACTTCAAACAGAGGGTGGTTCTTGGACAGGTCTCCAAAACAGAGGACTGTTCTCTATAGAGTAGGACGCCTGAACAACCAACTCCCTCTGCTACTTTGCCCAGGAGGCCCAGTATTTATGTGCTGCCTGCTATTTAATTTGTTTGTGCTCCAAGATGGCAATTCTGGTTCCCCATCTCAGTTTATGAGACTGAAACCCTGGGCATATTCACTCAGAAGCAAGTCCCATTGACTTTGGCTCTCTTCCTCCGTGAGCTGCATCCATCCCCCTGGACATGATAAGAAATTGGTGACTATTGAGTTTGTTAGCTTGTTTTCTTCCTCCCTTCCAATGCCTTTTCTATTTGTTTTATGTTAGATTGTAAACTTGAAGGCAAATGATGATGATTTGCTGTTCTGGGAAACTCTTCAATACTACATTGAAAAAATCCTGTGTATTTTATCAAGTACTGTACCTTTACACGACATGTTAATATCAGCATTCTTACTACTAATCACAACTGGAGAAATAATCTTAGCTTCTTGCTTTCACTCTGTGTAATAACTTGGTACAGAAAGCAGGGATGCGGGGGCGGGGATTCTGTTGGATCTGCTAATTATTAAGTGAACTAACCTGGACTAATAGGCTGATTGGAAAAGTTGCATTTCTCATTCAAAATCTGTGATGAAAAACAAGGGGGAGGTTGGTGATTGAAATCTGTGGGGCTTGGTTTCTCTTCCAAAATAGGTTCCCCATGTGAGACACCATGCACTGTGCCTATAAAACAAAGAATAAAAACCTCAGTGGAGAAGATACCTCATTGACAAAGGAATCGCCTGCGTCTCCCGAAAAATGGCAAGTATGTCTATACTGTAAGGCATGTTGCCTGTAAAAACGTATATGTTGGAAAGCTGTGCAGAAAATGTGTATGTTAGGGAAGGCTGCATTCAGAAATGAGCATCACCAGGGAAACAGTATGAAAACAAATGCTCATTTTCATACATACATTCAAAACAAATCAGAGAAAAATGAGGAAATGGACAGGTCCGTCTTGCAACTGAATATGTGTGAAACTGTCACACGCTGATTTTCTGTCCCTAACACAAGATGAAACTGGCATATCTTTCATCTTTTAAACGTGTGGACTTAAATGCCTTAGCAGGGATTGGAGTAGATGACCCAGGAGGTTCCTTCCAAGTCTGTATTCTGCAGCTCCAAACCTGTGGTTTCTATGAATCTGTGCTTTGCAGCCTACTGACTGTTCCCTTTCATATTTAACTGAAGCTTTGGAACTACTCAAACCAAGGCATTTATTGTGTGCTCAGGATTTCTCACTCATGGGAGGATGTGGAAGCTTTGCATGATGTCATCCTGCAAAGCCTCTGTTCAGCTTTCCAAGCCTTTCTGCAGCTTTATTTATTTACTTATTCATTCATTTTAAGAGGAAGATATGTGTAGCATCGTCCATGATCTAGACATGGTGGAATAACCTACAATCACCACCCTGTGTGCTTTTGCAACTCCACCATAGCGCAAACCTCCTTGCGATTGTGAAAAGGAGCATATGGCATAGAGAGGCAGAAAAAGGAAAACTCTGGGAGAAAAGGTGTGCGTGTGTGTTGGGGGGGGAGCATGTAAAGGAGACAATCTCAATTCTGTGAAGTGTCTGGAAATGAAATGGTGGATTAAAATCTCATATAGAGAGGCTCTTGGAGGCTCAGAATGAACATTCCTTCAGAAATCCACCTAAGATTATTATCCAACTCACAGCCTCTTGAGCACAGCCCCACTGAATTCAGCAAGATATGTTTCCGGTTAAATATGCATAGGATTGGGCTACACACTGAGATGGTTTCAAAGCTTATTTTTCTTTTTATTTTTTTAATCAAGTTTTATTATTTTCTCTCTAGATCCAAAACTAAAACAACAATTATTCAGGACATTGGACATACTGGGTCAACATATCACTCTCTTTCTTTCTTTCTTTCTTTCTTTCTTTCTTTCTTTCTTTCTTTCTTTTTTGCATTCAACAACCATATTCAATTCTATGCATAGTCCCATTTCTCTAACCAATGAAAGAAAATATTCCAAGTTTGATAGAAGTATGTATCTTCCTTTTCCTTCAGAACCTGCCCTGATCCAGGTAAACAAGTATTTGTAGATGTTCTAGTTTTTGTGTTACTGGGGAGTCCCAGTGGTGCAACATACTGATCCTGTAAGATTTTGCCCATGTTCTCCTAGTTTTGGCCTGCAAACGACCACAGTTTGAAGAAGAATAAAATGCATGACTTGTCACCAGGCAATACACATCCTATTTCAAAATGTGGAGAATGCACGTCTCCAGTGGGAACCAATTTCCATATATGACTTTTTTCCTGTTGCGCAGTCTGGGTGCTTCTTCAGAAAAGTGTGCTAAGATGGCAAAGTTGAAAATGTGGTATTTTTGTTTGGCTTGAGTGAATGTTCTTTTTTCCTTCTGGGATGCTTGGCTGCCCTCTTGTGGTCAACTGTGCAAACTAGTGCTCAGAAAATTTCAGAAAACATTCATATACTCACAGTGGCTGTACAGTTAATCTAGAGACAAAAGTGCTGGTGATGAATTGTTATCAGAATTTATATATACAGCACACCTATGACTTTAATGTTTATATACTTGCAGCTGTTAACACTGCAACATGTGTATATGGACATCGAAAGGCAGCTGGTGTGTTCACCTTGCCACGTACTTGCTGTGGAAAACACTGCACCAGATAACGACTCTAGCCATAGGCTGTTGCATAAAATGTTTTTTAAGGCATTTAGAAGCTTCTCTAGGGAGCAGGAACTGCTTTTACTTACAGTATTGAATTCTTAAAACAGGGTGGGAACTTGTGGAACAGGGTCATATGTTGGTCTGTGGGCCTTTTTTGCAGTCCATGCTTTTGCTACTACACCACTGAATAAAATATTATATTCAGTTAAATATTAAAGCAACAAACAAACAAATGATTGTGGTTTCTCTTTAAGATAAGACACAAAGAGAAGCCTTGTTTTAAGGCAACTCTGCATTCCCTGGAGGCTTCTAGTTTTTGTGGGTTGGGGAATTGATCCTCAGATCTTTGGATATTACCCTTACCTGTTCCAGCTCCCACTCCCCTACCCTTACCTGTACCCTTACTCTTACCTGTATCCTTACCTGTACCTGCTCCCTCTCCCGCTCCCACTCCTGTACCCTTGCTCTTACTGAAACCCTACCCATAACCCACCCCAAGCCTACCCTAGAGGAAAAGTTTCTTTGCATGGCTCAAACAAAATTTAAACACAAAGTGCCCTGACCACACTCTGCAACTATGGGAGAGGACAGGACAAAACAGAGAGAGGTAGATCTTGAGAGTAGCCCCTCAGTCTGGATTTTTAAGATCCCTGGCCTCTCCCCCTGCCCCATACTAGAAACATAGAGCAAGTCAGAAGGGACCTCCCAGGCCATCTAGTCTGACCCCTGGCTCCAGCCGGCTCCACTCACGACATGCCCACCATGTGCATGTTGAGAAGAAGGAACTGGCAGTGGTGGGATTCGAACCCACACCCCCAAAGAGATTGGAGCCTTAATCCAATGCCTTAGACCGCTTGGCCATGCTACCCTATATGAAGCTAGGGTCCCAGGATGCCCTACACCCATCTGGTGTAAATACCAGAGCCCCCATAACTCCTGGATATGCATTCAGAGTGATGCCAGTTGAGGGGATGGAGCGCTTCTCTTTCCCTCTCTCTCTCATGCAATTCTACTGATAGAGCAGGGAAGATATGCACTTCCTCTGAAAGGGTAGGGGATAAATTTCCTAAATGAAGCTCTGTATGTGGACCAGAGTTAAGGCTGTCTATTGTGGGCTGTCGCCAAGTCCTCGGCGCCAACTTTCTTCTCTGAACTTCCAGCCAAATCCTGATGGGAAGGATGAAGTGTCTGGGCCCAGCAAGGATGCCCAGCATTCTCCTGGTTCTGTTGCATGTGCCACATTAGTAGCTGGTAGGTTGGGCTGAACAGGGATAAGAGGCTCTCTTTTGGGAATCCTCACTTCCAGTTGCTGTGTGTGCCTGTGTTTTGTGACACCGGTTGAAGATGGGAAGAGTGTGTTTCTTGTTTTAGATTTTGAACCATGCCACACTGAATAAGACAAAAAAGGGGAAAAAAATCAGTCATCACAGCAAGCCCGTGGAAACTCTTCTGCTTTTGCAAAGGTTAGAACACCCACACACCCCCTCTGTCACTGCTTAACATGGTGGATTTTCTTTTTTTAAAATTATGGGCCATGTATTTGCACACCCACGCCCACACACATATACTGAAATTTTCCTAATGTGGTAAGAAGTCGCAGGATTAAAGGGAGCAAAGATATTGTTGGTCTCACTGATCACCATGCTAAACTTATTTCTGTTCTGTAGAGAATTTGACACCTTTGTGTGTTCCTGCAATGTGTCATCTGCACTGGGGAGGCAGGCAAAGACCAATTCACCAAGGAGTGTATTTAGAGCTCTCCCCACAGAACAGTCCAATGCTCAGTTCTCATTCAGTTCCACCATTCTTTTTTTTTTTGGAATGTCGCTGATTAGAATGCCCACGCAGCACAGGGGATTCCTATGTGGGGTGGGGGGGGTCCTAGGGCATCCAAACACTGTCTGGGAGGCCACAGGATTCTTCAGTGTCCCACCACTAAGGTCCTCTGTGCTCAGGTTCTGAGAGCAGATTCCCCTATCTCTTCACAGCTGGCATGGAAAGAACCCTGCCAGCTGCCACTCGGAGCACCCAACTGGGCCTTGGAGGGGGAAAGGGGAGGATACTGGGGTGAGTGGAGATGAGAAGTGACTGGGGCCACGGACCTATGCCAAATCCAGTTGGCATCTTAGATCAAGTTGCAAAATCGGGCTGGATTCTGGCTTTTTTGTGCTTGCTGGACTTCTTTTCCACGTTCAGCAGATAGAGTATGTGCCAGAGTCCAGGAAGCTGAGCAGAGGAGATCTGGTGAACGATTGCCTGCAAACCAGACTTGATGGGTTCCTACCTGCAAAAATGCATGTCGGAAGGAATGGGAAGGCGGTCTTTGGTGCTGCTTCCACCCTGCATAGGGTGACTACAAACCTCAAAGAATGAGGCTTATTTATTTATTATTTCAATGTCTATGCCATTACCTTAGCCTACACTTGGGTTATGTGCATTTTAATTTCACTGTGCCCTTAGAAGCCAATACAGAAGAAGAAGCCGACTTATTTTATATTGTTATCTTTTGTATTTTAATTTATGTTGTGAGCTGCCCCGAGGCTTCGGCGAATGGGGCGGCATAGAAATGTTTTAATAAATAAATAAATAAATAAATACGCATGTGCATGCAGATGCACACGCGCACACACATGCTACAATATGGGGATTCTATGGAGAATCGCTTCCACCAGTGGAACAAACATGTTGGATCCAACCCACATCATAATGGGTTGATGATGGGTTGATGATGAGGGTTTTAATATTTTTGTTGCATAATTGTTATGTTTGTATATTTTGTTTTTGTTGTGAGCCCCCCCCCCCGAGGCTTTGATGCGATAGGGGTGGCATAAAAATGTTTTAAATAAATAAATAAATAAATAAAGTCTTGTGCATTCCTGAAAAGATCTTTGTGATCCCATCAGAACAATTGTCTGACATCAATTGTGCCAATGTAGAATATTGCACCATAAAGTATAGGGCATGGTACAAACATCGCTATAAGAGCCTGCTGTAAACAACACATTCAAACACTAGCCCAAGGGGCATGGCTGCTGGTGAAGACTGGAAGACCTCCTGAATGCCAATCTAGTACAGATTTACATTTAAACAGAGATTTGCACTTTAATCTAGGTACCCAATTACAGAATGACAACTGCTTATCCTGATTATGCAAATCTACGCTAAGCAGATTTGTAGGAGAGGTTTCTCCTATGATTGCTCAAATTGTTTCCTTACTAGTTATAACTAATTCAGAGCGCACTATTCATAGTCAAGACTGCCAGGGCTGCTTGGATGGGTAAAATATTCTAATCACTTGAGTGGCTAATGAGTTAACAAGTGAATATTGAAAAGAGTCAAACTGTTCACCTGTGAGGGCCATAAATGCTCAGCTTGGTTGGTGAAGAACGCAGGGCTGAGAGAAAAGAGTGGTATGCTCGGGCAGAGAGAGTCAAGGCTGAGACTCTGAGGCGGTGAGTGGATATCACATGGCAGCCTTGTTCTCTCCCTTGTTTCTGGGCCCTACAGATAAATTTACAAAGCTGCACTTTGATTCCTCAACAACAAAAGTGCATTGAATGATTTAAGCTGGCTTCCAAGAATAGGAATGCCACTCTTATGAGGAGAAAATTCCTCCTCCCAATAAATTAAAATGCCCTTGGAAATGTTAAGATACTATAACTTTTGGCATCTTGGATTGCTTTATCTTCTACACAGAAATGAAAGGCCAGCAACATTATCAGGTGGCGATATGCAAGTATGAATAATAATGAAATTCTAGCTTGGCTGAGACATGGGATGGACGAAGAAACTTATTATTTGGCTTATATTAGCCTTTCCACTCACTATGCAAGGGCATGAAAGCTGGACAATGAAGAAAACTGGCAGGAGCAAAATGCATGCCGTTGAAACATGATCATGAGGAGAACCTTGCAAATTCCCTGGAGTGAAATAAGGACAACATGGTTCTAGATCAAATCAAACTAGAACGTTCCCTAAAAGCCAAAATGATGAAATGGAGGCTGCTGTACTTTGGACACATCATGAGAAGGCAAGACTCCTAGAGAAGACAATCATGAAAGAGAATGTCAAAGAAGAAGGGGAAGACCAGCTATGAGATGGATGGAATCCATCAAGGAAGCCACAGCCTTGAACTTAGAAGAGCTGGATGGAGCTGTCCTGGACAGGTCATTTTGCAGGGCTCTCATTCATAGGGTCACCACAAGTCATAGAAAACTTGATGGCACTTTTCAAAAAACCTCCCACGTCTGGTGCTCTTCAAATAAATTGGACTGGGAGTGATGGGTGTTTCAAAGCAACCAACTGCAACATGCTGAGAAAGGCTGCCTCAGACTTTTCCTGTGTTAGACGCTAAATATAAATGAAGTTTCCAACCACCGCACATTTCCTGCTCCTCAAATGCTTACTATTTGGCATGCATCCTGGAAGGCTCTTCCAACACGTGTTTCTTAATTACTATGAACAATGCATATAGAAATCCCATCCTTTTCTGGCAAAATTCTAGAAGCACAGAGAGGTTGCAAGCCATTAGTACTATCACACCCCCTCACCACCCACAGCATGGCACTCATTGGATGGATTGATGTTACAGGTGGTTGAGGGAAGGCTTCTGTGGTCTCTTCATGCTTCAGTTTCAGTAGCAAAAAGTCTCTGGAGTGGAAATTCTGTCAACACCTTCCTTCAAAGACATTTATAGATAAAAGGCAGTGCATTTCTTTAGTTCAACCTGAAAATGTCAACCAAAGAGCAGAAATGGGTGTAATGTATTCAGGACTCGAAGATCTCAACACAATTTCAGCTGAGAAGAATGTTTTCAGGATGGGACGGGGATACGGCTTACAGCCTGGTTCACTTCAGTGCATCTGGTCTAAAAAGCAGTGAGTGGCAGTAGCAAGATGGAGGACCATAAACAGATGGGCCCAATTCTATTTTTTTCAACCTTGTGTGTCATCACCCTCCACCGATGGAAGAAGGCACAGGCAAGGCAGATCGGACCAAGTAGTTTTATAAAGAGAAACTAGTGGTTAAAAGCGCTGGGCAGGGACACAGGAGACTGGGGTTCTAGTCCCCACTCAGCCATGGAGATCCCTCAGTGACTTTAGGTCAGTCACAGACTCTCAGCCCAGCCTACCTGACAGGGTCGATGCAAGCATAAGATTGAGAGGAGGAAGAGAATTCTGTAAGCCACCTTGAATTGCTTGGAAGGAAAAAAAGGGATATTAATAATAATAAGTCCTCAGGCAGGAAGTTGAGAGAGGTTGAGGAAGGAGGAGTGGGTGGGATTAACTGAATGACCCAACTCATTACTCGGTGACTGCTTGATACATAGAGCTACTTTAGGCTAAGAAAAGTATTGCAGCCACACAGACATCTGATGTTTGGCATTGTTGTTTGTATTTTTTAGTGTCACTTCTCATATTCCAATATTACAATGTCACACAGCTTGTTGGGAACCCTCCACCCCATGTCCTGGATGGATTTTTTTTCATCTTGGAAACATTGCCAAACCCTGGGACCTGCAACTTGGTGCCCTTGAAAAGTTTTGGACTATAACTCCCATACATTGTGATCTTTGGCTATGTGGTCTGGGGATGATGTGAATTGCAACCCAAACTATCTGAAGGACACCCAGTTTGCCTACCCTTCTTCTGCAGAGTGGCCACCAGTTGTGGTAAGCCTAATGATGGAGTTGCACATTCCAAAGGCACAGCACATGTATTAGCCTTGCAATATAACTCTGTACAACACAGAAAAATCATCCTTTCCACCACCCACAGAACATAGGGAGGGACATGCATGCATGCAAATTTTGCATTGCAAGAGTTGGGATGGGAAGAGGGAGTGAAAAGGAAATGAGCCAAGTCTTCA